CGCCGCATCCTTCACAGCATCCCTCGCAGCATCTCTCGCCGCATCCTTCACAGCATCCCTCGCAGCAGCATCTCTCGCCGCATCCTTCACAGCATCCTCGCAGCATCGCCGCATCCTTCACAGCATCCCTCGCAGCATCTCTCGCCGCATCCTTCACAGCATCCCTCGCAGCATCTCTCGCCGCAATCCTTCACAGCATCCTCGCGCAGCATCCTTCACAGCACATCTTCGCCGCATCCTTCACAGCATCCCTCGCCGCATCCTTCACAGCATCCCTCGCAGCATCTCTCTCGCATCTCTCGCCATCCTTCACAGCATCCCCGCAGCATCTCTCGCCGCATCCCTCGCCGCATCTCTCGCCGCATCCTTCACAGCATCCCTCGCAGCATCTCTCGTCGCATCTCTCGCCGCATCCTTCACAGCATCCCTCGCAGCATCTCTCGCCGCAGCCGCATCCTTCACAGCATCCCTCGCATCCCTCAGCAGCATCTCTCGCCGCATCCTTCACAGCATCCCTCGCGCATCCTTCACAGCATCCCTCGCCGCATCCTTCACAGCATCCCTCGCAGCATCTCTCGCCGCATCCTTCACAGCATCTCTCGCCGCATCCTTCACAGCATCCCTCGCCGCATCCTCACGCATCCCTCGCAGCATCTCTCGCCGCATCCCTCGCCGCATCCTTCACAGCATCCCTCGCGCCCTCGCCGCATCCTTCACAGCAGCACAGCATCGCCGCATCCTCGCCGCATCCTTCACAGCACAGCATCTCTCGCCGCATCCCTCGCCGCAGCATCAGCATCTCTCGCCGCATCGCAGCATCCCTCGCCGCATCCTTCACAGCATCCCTCGCAGCATCCCTCGCCGCATCCCTCGCAGTCCTCGCCGCATCCATCACAGCATCCCTCGCCGCATCCAGGCCCGTCAGGGAGATGAAACGGAGCGGCGCGGGATCTACTTGCCAAAGGCGGCTGCGCTGACCTCCTCCACCGATGGCCGGGGTCGCTGTGTAACAAGAGATGCAGTTCGGTTAATTAATGATTCAGTGGAGGGTCTGTATTGTGTATTTGGTCCCGTGTGTGTGTGCGTGCGTGTGTGTTTTTGTTGCTGTTGTTGTTGTCTTCTCGTTCGCTTTGTTTGGTCTGGTTTTATTTTTGTCTGTGTGTTTGGTTGTGTGTTTTGTGGGATGTGGATATGTGTGTGGATTGGTACATATTGAGTGGGGTAAATATACTGTCTTACAGACACGTGAACACACGCGAACACACACACACACACGCACGCACACACACAAACCCCCCTCCTCCACGCACATATACTTACATATAAAACACACACACACACACACACACACACACACACACACACACACACACAAACCCCCTCCTCCACCCCACACACGCACATACAATTACCCACAAAACACACATACACACAAACAAACAAACAAATACAAAGACAGAAAATAAAATCACAATTGCAAGTCAACATATTTTCTGGTGCATATTCTCGTTTGCGTAAATAATCCGTGTCAGATATGAATTAATTTATCATCAAACCTCATTATTCCCTTCAAGAACCCGTTGCACAACATTCAAAAGCGGAACATGATTCAAATGATGACAATTATGAACTCTCTCTGCCTTTCTGTCCTTTTATCTTCTCTTCTCTTATCATTGTTTTTATTATTGTCTCTACTGTTGTTAGTTGCAATCATCATTAAGCTTATTGTCATTGTCATCATTATTATTGCTGTTATCATTATTATCATCATTAAAGTTGTTATTACTACTTTTATTGTTAATATAATTGTTATCACTATCATTATTGATATCATCATTACTCTTATCATTATTATCATTGTTCTTGCTATTCTTCTTATCCTTAATATCATAATAATCCTTATTACTACTATTTCTCGCTCTTATTATTTTCATCATTATCATTATTACTATTATTATTATTGTTATCATTGTTATTATTATCATTTTGTTATCATTATCGTTATTTTTATCATTATCATTATTATTGCTATAATTTTCATCATAAATATCATTATCATGATTATTACTATTATCATTATCATCATTATATTATTGCTATGATTGTTGTTATCACTATCAATATTATTATTGCCATCATGATTACTATTACTATTATTGTGATCACCATCAATATTGTCATCATCATTACTATCCTTATTATCGTTATTTCTATCATTATTATCAATCATAATAATCATTATCACCTTTCCTATTATCCTTCTTACTGTATATTCTCAATGTCAATGTTATCATCATCAAAATCTTACCATTTCCCTGAATTCCGACACTGGTCGCCATCATCAGCATCGTCCCAGTGCAAGATCTTCCTTATGGACTTCCTTAGATCTTTCACATCTTCAAGACGTTTGGCAGGTCCTTCAGTCGTCGTTTCGCTGAGGTCTTGTCACGAGCAGAAGAGTAAGTGCCTGGCTGTGTATGCTGTCGTTGGTTCAAGATAA